CTTGTAGAGGAGCAAGTGCGAGACACTTGCCGTAAACGGTTGCACCAGACATCAGGAGGCACTGTGGAAGCCTACCAGCAGACGATCCTGGGGCAACTTCGCCAGGATGACCACTTACCGGTCATATCATCATCGTCGTCTGTGTGCGAGTCCACTACTCGCCTTGGAACACGCTGTTTGTTCCAGAGGACGAGGACTGTGCAAGAGACCTTGGCAATGGTAGGATGACTTTGCTCATCGATGCCAACGGTAGCCCGAATTGGGTAGAGGACACTTGGCGAACGGAAGGCGCTAAGGCCGTTGACCGCACTTCACTGGTGCTACTCTGCTTGAGAAACCTGACTACCCACTTGACGTGGAACCGGCTGACCCTGGCACTTGCTTGCGCAACGACCTCAATTACTTCCTGTTCCGACTGAGCCTACAGACTTGGAATGCATGGAACACTCGCTTATCACTTGCCTTTCAGGAGCTGGTGCCCTGTGTTCCCGTCGTTCCAGGTTGACTTTGCGTTTGTGTCTGCCCTGTTGGTGGTCCTTCAGTTACTTTGCTGAATGCCGTTGACGTGCTGACTGGATTGGGACTTTCCGTTATTTTCCCGACCAAGGGCCGGAGCACTTACTCCCAGGCTGAACTTCAATGATTCATCCTAGAAACAAGGCGCACTTTTTGGTGTGCTTCAGTGCGATCCGGGCCGACACTTAAGGCGTTTGCGGAGACAGTCACTTCTGAAGTTGGTGGCTTGACGATGCGTACTTCGCCTACTGGGTGGAAACAGGCGCAAGGTTCCGTTGGGAACTTGCAGGCCAACTTGTACGCACAGTCTGGCGCGCTGAAGCTTGATTTGGCTGCAGGTGCAAGGTTGAACTTTCGGTTCAGCATCCTTTTTAAACTTGTCTCATCAAGCATGCGAAATTGTTGCTGAATCGCTACCTGGTGAAGTCGGACGGCCGAACTCCATACAAAAAACGTTGGGGTCGGAAGTTCACTTCCGCGATTTGCAGCCTTAAAGCCCGCTTGGAATGTGCACCGAGTCAGGGATGCCCTTTTGCGCTGACGGCACTGGTGTTTACAAGACGCGGACCGTGAGGCGACTCTCGCCGTCAATGCAGGCGGACGCAGCACTTCTGAAAAGCATCCGCGCGAGGCCTTGGCGCGTCAGGAGCCAACTTCCGCCCATCCCTGCACCTCGCGTCGGGGGGGGGCCAACTTGCCAGACACCGTCCCCGAAGCGGACACTTCCCGCTTGCCGACGCTCAAGGTGAACTTGACGTTGACGAGCCTACGGACGACTTGCCGCCTTCGTCAAGCGTGCGCAGACCACTTGAGGGAGCTGATGAGGACACTTTCGGCTCACAACACGCGACCCGCCGGAGACTTGACCCAGATTCTCCGTCGAAGCGTGAGCGTATTTCTGTGGAAGAGGCAGAAACTTCCGCCGGAAGTAAAGTTCGGCGACTGTCTGCAGTGACGGCTGGAAATTCGGATCTCAGCAGTAACCACTAAGGATCAGCTTGAGGTTCCTGCGGTGGTCAACCAGGATGAGTCCGAACTGTTACTTTTGAAGACGCTTGAGAGCCCACACTTGTGGTACGACACGGAGTTCCCAAGAAAACTTGAACTTGCTGGCATGACAAAGAGATGAAATCAATGCTTGACTTTGACGTGTTCGAAGAAGTCAGTGTCGATCAAATTTCGCAAAAGCAACTTAACAGCGCAATCTCGTTGCGTTGGGTTAAACTTGCAAACCGGACGGCACTGTACGTTGCAGACTCGTTGTTTGCGGGTTTGACCAGAAAGTTGAAGACTTGGATGACACTTTTGCAAGCACTCCGTCACTTGTCATGTTGAAGTTGTTATTGACACTTACGCCGTCGTTCAACTGGACTGTCACTTGCGCTGACATATCCACATATTTCCTTCATGCACTTATCACCGGCGAGGAAGTTCTTGTTATACCTCCGCTGGAGTACTACTTTGAAGGAAAAACTTTGCGGAGGCTCAAGCGTTGCAGTGGGTTGCGTAAACCAAGAGACTTTATGTGTTGGCATAACTTGATGACCTGATGTTCTTTGATTGAGAACCTGATGTGGATGACCTTTTTAGTATGTTGAGAAAGGGCTTGATCTTGAAGGTGACAGGTGAACTTACGGAAGGTAATCAAGTTACTTTTCTTGGTAGGAACATCAGGCCAACAGGTGATTCCATTGAACTTTCCATGTCTGAATCTTATGTTGACAACATTGTGAAGGAACTTGACTTGTTGAATGCTAAACCTGCGGTTACTCCTGGAACTGAAACTTTGAAAACTAAGGGTGTTGCGGAACCCCTTTCCAAGGAAGAACACAAGAGGTGGCGACTTGTCGGTCGACTTTTTTCGTGGTTATGCAATGTTAGGTGTGACACTGGGCACAACTTCGCTTAGGCCGTTACCTCCTTGGCACGAAGCACTTTACGCCTCACTTGGCGCCCACCGTCAGGCCCCACGACGAACACAGGTCGCTTGACATGAACACTTTTGTTGACTCGGACTGGGCTGGGTGTCACGACACTTGCCGTAGCACTTCAGGAGTAGCCCTGTTTGTACTTGGTGTGAACTTGCTGTCACATAGCCGCACGCAAGCTACTGTGGCCCGTAGCAGCGGAGGCCGAACTTTACGCTCGATCACTCGTACTTGAGCCAAGACTTTTGGAAAGCCAACTTGACAGTCCACACGGACTCGTCAGCTGGCAAAAGCATGGCAGAGTGCTTCGGAACTTCCCGAAAGACGAAGCACGTCGAGCTTCGCCGCTTGTACACGCAGGAGCTTGTCCAATCTGGACTGCTCAAACTTCAGAAGGTTCTAGGCACTTTAAACCCTGCTGACGTCATGACCAAGAATGCCTACCTTAGGACTTTTTGCATGATGATCTCCCATGTAGTTGCATGGCCCAACTTTTTCACTAAGCTTTAACTCAGCGGGTGCAAGACTTGAGAGTTGCATGAGTGAACTTTTGCGACGCCGCCGCCTCCATTCTGTGACTTTTGCAGTCCCTGCTGTCACTTATGTATGGGCTGTACTTCACACCGGATAGAGCAGGAGAGTCCTTGCCAACTTTTGCGGTACATCCACTTTGCCGTGAGTTCTGATGATGAGGAACTTGTCCACAGGATGAAGGGCAAGGGGAAAGGCCAGGAACCACTTCCCCCAAGACCTTCTCCGGAACTTTAGGAGGCTTTGAGGGGATTGCCCAAACACTTTGCGACATTCTCCAACTACAACAAGTGGCATGACTTTCGGTCCTCTACTGAGACTTTGCGCCAAGGACATCAGCTTGAACAACTTTTGGAAGCCTGAGTTGGAGCACTTTGGCAACTTTGTTGGACACTGCTCTCATCATGGGATGTTTCATCAGGAGCTTTTCCACCGGTTTGGCCCCAGCACACTTACTGCAACTTGCAGCTGTGGTTGACTTTGCCGAAGATCACTTTTGATGGATGTGTGATCAGGCCTCTGCGAGAGAGGGGTACTTTCTCCCGTAGACGGGTGGAATGCTCAACTCGCCACGCTCGTCCACCTCTTCTTTACTTTTAATCCAGGAATCAGCACGCACCAATCCAAATACTTCCAATTTGTAGTTGATTCTGAGGTGGTGACTTTCAGAGTTAGGCCCTCATGGGGTACTCTTAACACTTGGAGGCAGCAAGGCCGACTTTGGAACCGACACTGGCGTGACTTTTTGCTGGTTGCGCCAAGGTTCACGCTGAACTTTGTTGACAGTAGGGACCGAGGCACTTTGAATGGAGGTCTGAGTCGTGAGAAGTCCTACACTTTGGCTCATCGAGTATGATTTCAGCCAGTGTGACATGCGCCTGCCAATCAGCACAGAGAAGGACTCCCGCGAACGCAGGTGAGATCCCGCTTGGCTTTTTGGATCATGCTTTGAGGGCAAGACTTTAGACACTTTGCACGTGAGAAGGCATTTTGCAAGTTGGAACTTTTGCAAACTTTCTCAGACTTTCCAATGTCAAAGACTTTGTTTCAAGGCAGACACTTTGTGTGGCGCAAGCATCGCACTTCACTAGATGCTCAATACCTTCTCTGCGGTTTGTACTTTTTGCAAGTGAGATCTTTGAGACTCTGCTCAAAATGCACTTTTGCGTCACTTTGCATGAGTCGGAATTGGTGTTGTCCACAATATAACTTTGATTGTGTCCAAGGGGGCGTGCTAAAATACAGGCACTTTTCCTCCATCATGTCTGATGCACGGCACACATGTACTTGCCAACTTTGGTTGGCTCAAGCCTGCCCGTGTGAAAAGAGCTGCGCACTTTCAGAGTTACTGTAGGGTGCTCTGCTGGGTACTGTACTTTGACCTGAGATTTGCCATTTTTTGGTTTGTTTGTTTGTTTGATTGTTTGTTTTTTGGGGGCCTCCCTGTTGGGTGGCTTTGAAGCGGAGCAGGAAATCATTCACTTTTGGAAATGAGAATGCTTCATCTGCAGTGGAGTTCTGTCGGGTATCTACTAGATCATGTTCAGCGGGCTCCCTAAAAAACACTTTTGGTGGACACAGACATCACTTTTGGGGCGCATTTATGGTAAGTCTCCTTTGCCCTCTGCTGGGGGCCATGTTTGGGATCACAAATGTCGACCACATGGCGACTGCTTCCTCGAAGCTTTCAGCTGTTGGAGACAAACACACGCAGACCCTTCGCCCACCTTGTAAACCTTGATAAAAAAGGGCTTTTGCGTGTGTGTGTGTGTTGTGTGTATACAACCTGGTTATGTCCTGAAATGATCAACATGGTCCGAAAAGAAGCGAAAGTCAATCCTTCAGCTGGGGTAATCTCATGCTATCTTCTATATTCCCTTGGGTTAGTGGTATGGGGGCACTTCAAGCTCTTTTTGGAGATTCAGACCTCAGTTGCCCTTTGAACCCAAAAGGGAGGTTCCAACTCATAAACAGGCACACCCACCCGCCCACACACTCAGACTCCCATCCAGCGGGCTCTCCGAGGATTTTCCCGGGGATCTCTGGCTTCCTCGAAAAGACTTGGTGCCATCTGATGGTGCCGCTGGACTCGCGATACATCTACCACGACCCTTGGCGGGTGAACTCAATCACCAACAGTTCAACAACCGAACCGAAGTTTGAACTCTTAGCGCTCACAGGAGTTTATGACAAACACATACATACATACATACGTACGTACATACATACATACACACAGACAGACAGACAAACAGACAGACAAACAGACAGACATACATACATGCATGCATACATGCATGCCGGTGCCGCTTGGCTGTGAGCAAAAGGTGGTTGATGGATTTCCTTGCAGCACCTGCATTTCAACAGCTGCAATTGAAATCATTGATGTTGCAGGTGATGCCGAGGATTTTGCCCCCCCCCCCCCCCCCCCAGCCCTCGGGGTCTCGGGGGGGCCAATTGTCTTTTGCCAGCTGTCAAGAAAATGAGCCTGTGAAGCTAAGGATGTTGCAGGTGATGAGGCGTTGCCGCTCCCCCCTCAAGGTGGCTCGTTAGCTGTAAAGAAACTGAGCCTGTGAAGCTAAGGATCTTGCAGGTGATGTCGAGGATGTTGCCGATGTCGTCTGGTAGCAAAACAGATGATGATCATGATGATGGTGATGATGATGACCCTCACGGTGATGACAACCATCATCATAGCATCTTGCAGCACCATCATGATGATGATGTTTTAACGCCAAGATCTATCCCACTGCGCCCTTTTTTTCAGGGGGGGAGCGGGGAGGGAAATGAAAGGAGATGAAAGCTTAAGGGCTTAAAATCTGAAAATCTGAGCGACTTGGGTTGAAATCCTAATAGCTTGAAGTCTGAACATCTTGATGGCTTACCTTCAGACTGCTCGACAGATCGGATTGGACGGACTGGTCGGACGGCTGGGCCCGCGTAGGGCGGACAGCTCGGACAGATCGGACTGGACAGACCGGTCAGGCACGGAAGGGGGGCAGGGGGGAACAGATCTTAGGCGGGAGGGAAGGGCGGGTGGAAAAGATGTGATGGGGGGAAAGGGAGGAGAAGATTTGGGGGAAAGGAAGGCGGAAAAGATCTTAGGGAGGGAAAGCGGGGGAAAAGATCTTGCGGGGGAAAAGATCTTGGGGAAGGAAAGGGGGGAAAAATCTTAGGGGGGAAATTGGGAAAGATCTTAGCGGGGGCACTTCACTTTCCTTCACTTCCCTTCCTGTCCCTTTATTTCCTTTTATGCCTTCAATTATGTCCATTTTGCTTCCTTCACTTCATGTCCCTTATTTCCATGCAGTTCCCTTCATTTCCCCACATTTCCTTTCACCAGCATGGGCAACATCTCCAGCATCACCTGAATCATTCGCATCAATGTTTGCCAAGGGTTCGAACGATGCAGGTGATGCTGGCGATGTTTCTCTTGAAATGCTAAGGATGCAAAAGCGGACCCGGGGGGAATCGAACCTCCCAATGTTTTTATGCAGCTGTTATATCGCACGAAGCGGGAACGTCTTGGAATCAGTGCGTGTGGGGTAAGGGGAGGGGTAACAGGTACAAGCATGTCTTCTGTAACTGCCCTGGTAGCAAGAAAGATGATGATCATGATGATGGTGATGATGATGATGATGGCCGCCGTGACATTTATCATCGTAACTATCACCGTAGCTTCCCTTGCATTACCATCAGGATGATGATAGCTATCATCATAACATCAATGTATATATCCGCCGACCCCTTGCCCAAGAAAGGAGGCGCACAGGAGGGGGCATCATGATGGTAACGCAAAGGGTGCTTTGACGATAGTTATTCAACATGATGGTGATGCAAAGAGTGCTAGGAAGATAGTTCTCATCATCATGATGGTGGTGCAAAGGGTGCTTTGATGGTAGTTATCATCATGTTGATGAAAGGGATGCTCTGATGATAGTTATCATCATCACGAAGGTGATAATCCTGTTCTTTTCTTTTTGCAGTTCAACACTGACATGTCTAAGGTAAGTATTGAAATGTACATATAGGAAAACATGGGTCATCACCGTCATGATGATGAGACCTATCATCATAGCCTCCTTGGCGTTACCATCACGATGACCCTTCCCATGCACCTCCCTGGTTGGGCGAGGGTCCGCGGACAGACATACACACATACCTACATGCCTACATACATACTTACCCAGATACATGCATAGACACATACATGAATACATACACACATGCATACACACCTACAAACATTCATGCCGGTCTACAAGCATACATACCTACATACATACATGCGTACATTCAGACCTACACACATACGTACCTGCACACACGCATGCATACATACTTGCACACATATAAACATACATACCCAAATACCTACATACCTACATGCATACGCACATGCATACAGACAGACAGACAGAAAGACTGAAAGATACACATACATACCTATATACCCACCTGCATACCTAACTACTTGCACATATGCACCTCTATACATACATGCCTTACACACATACATACACGCCCACATACAAACATGCATACATGCCCACATACAAACATACATACCTACATACATACCTACACACACATGCCTAAACACACACACACACACACACACACACACACACATGCCTACACACATACATACCTACATACATACATACATGCATACCTACATACCTACATACCTGAGTACCCAGACACATGCACACACACACACACATTCAGACGTGCACACATGATACACACGTACCTGCCTACAGACATACATACATACACACAAACCTACACACAAACCTACACACACGCGTACTTACCTACTTACAAACATTCATTCATACACGCATACACATCTACCTTCTTGCATACAGACACGCATACGAACGGTAGGACCCCCAAGACAATACCCTTGTCCCGCTGGCACGTTGCAGCTCCTCGTGCCATCGCACATCCAGGCCTTGAACCTTACAGTACATCACTGCAACAAGCCCAGCAGAAGGTAAGAGACAAAGTACATACCGCGGGATGAGCAGCAGACCAGACATCATCAACACATCAGAAGAGCCGGCCCTACCACCTACATCAGCATCAATAAAACGACCTAACACCATAGCAGAAAGAGAGCGACAGAGCACCACAACAGAAAGGCAAACAAGGGAGCGACCAGCGGCAGGAGAACAACCAAAAAACAAAGTGATGATCAATGCCATCAAGATTCAACAAGAGATGGCAAACAGCACGAGAACTTACATCAACTGAAGGTGCACAAATCATAGAAGGCAAACGGACTCTACTGGAGCCCACCAAACACGACACAGAGGGCCTGGATCGACAACAAGAGTCACAAAGACTGAAGAAAGAAGTGCAACAAATGAAAGCTTAGAGAGTAGATTGATGGTCATACATTGACACCAGACTGACACCAGAATACCAGGCAAGCATAAAATGGGTTCCTGAAGCTAAACAACACGAGCAAGGGTTAGTGCGAAAGGCTACACAGAACCCGTTACAGACCACGACCTACCCTTCGTGGTTTCATAAAGGATCCAGAGCTTGCATCATCATCAGAAGAAGTTGGACATTGCACTGCTTGCCGTTCTCTAGGCATCCCCTTGTGCAGCGGGGACATTGCACCTCCATGTTGCCATCCCACATCAAGGCCTTGACACGCAGCAATACTTGTATTTACGCCATGTATACATGTATACATGTATGTGTCTCCCACTCAACGAATAAACTGCAAGGGATCAACCACTAAGCGAGGTTCCTGTTGAATATTGTTGTACGTCATCAAATGTGGGCCAGATTGGGGTTTCGACTGCAAAAGCTGAAGATGCCAAAAAGGTGTGCAGGGTTGGAATCTAAGGATTGGTGGGGCAACAAGACTTTCCAAGCGCGGGAGGGCGAGTACTTCAGCGCCAGGGGCAACTGTGAACGCATCTGGGCTTGGTTCAAGTAGACAAAAAAAGTGTGCGGGTGTCTTTGTGTGTGGGTGCAGGTGTGTGTCTGTGTGGGTGACGAGAGGGTGGTGTGTCTCTGTGTGAGTGGGGTGGTGTGTGTGTGCGCGCGCGTGCGCGCGCACCCGCATGCGCGCGTGTGTGGGTGAGTGTGTGACTGTCTGTGAGTGTCTGTGTGTGTGTGTCTGCGCGCGTGTCTCTGTGTGTGTGTGTGTGCGGGCTCGTGTGTGGATGGTGTGTGTGCGGGGGTGACACATGTGCGCCTGTGCGGCATGTGCGCGCGTGTCTCTGCATGTTTGTGCGGGGCCGTGGGTGGATTGTGTCTTCGTGTTTGTGTGGGTGGTGCGTGGGTGGCGTCTTTGCGTTTTGATGTCTGTGTGTTTGTGTGCGTGGTTGTGTGTGTGTGGTTGTTCTTGTTGTTGTTGCTGCTGCTGCTGCTGCGGTGTTGGTGGTGGTGGTGATGGTGGCCGCGGCGGCGGCGGTGGTGGTGATGGTGGTGGTGGTGTCTGTGTTTGTGTCTGTGTTTGCCCCTTTGTGTGTGTGTCCGTTTGTGTATGTATGTTTGTGCGCGTGTTGTTGTTGTGTGTGTGTGTATGCTTGTGTGCCTGTGCGAATTTGCGAGTGGTGTGTGTGTGTGCTGTGTGGATGGTGTGGATGGTGTGCTTGTGTGTGCGGGTGGCGCGCGGGTGTATGTGTGTGTGCGTGTTTGTATGTCCGCGTTTTGTGTCTGTGTGTGTTTGTGTGTCTGCGTTTGTGTGTCTGTCTGTGTGTCTGTCTGTGTTTCTGTCTGTGTGTCTGTCTGTGTGTCTGTCTGTTGTGTGTGCGTCTGTGTGTGTGTGTGTGTGTCTGTGTGTGTGTGTCTGTGTGTGTGTGGGCCTGTGTGTGTGTCTGTGTGTGGGTGTCCGTGTGTCTCTGTGTGTCTCTGTGTGTCTCTGTGTGTCTCTGTGTGTCTCTGTGTCTCTCTCTCTGTGCCTCTCTCTCTCTCTCTCTCTCTCTCTGTGTCTTTATCTCTGTGTCTCTCTCTGTGTCTCTCTCTCTGTGTCTCTCTGTGTCTCCTTTTTCTCTCCTTCTCTCTTCTTCTCTTTCCCTCTGTCTCCTTCTCTCTCCCTCTCTGGTCTTCTCTCTTCTCTCTTCTTCTCCCTTCTTCTCGCGTCTTCTCTTTTCTTCTCTTTGTTTCTCTCTGCTTCTCTGTTCTTCTCTCTCCTTCTGTCTTCTTCTCCCTGCGTATCGCTTCTTCTCTCTGTTTCTCTCTGTTTCTCTCTGTTTCTCTCTTCTTCTTTCTCCTTCCTTCTCTCTCCTTCTCCCTTCTTCTCTCTTCTTCCTTCTCTCTCCTTCTCTCTTCGTCTCTCTTCTTCTCTCTTCTTTTCTCGTCTTCTCTCTTAGTCTCTCTCTCTCTCTCTCTCTCCCTTTCTTTCTCTCTCTTTCTCTCTCTCTCGCGCTCGCTCACTTGCTTGCTTGCTAGCTCGACACTCGAGTCCACGAAAGTGAAAAACAGAAAACCACGAGTCGTTAGGGTCGACGCACGGAAAGCCGCAGAGGGCCACCTTTTGCGGGTGCGCGGGGAGAGCGCGCTTTCCATCGCAGTTGCCCAAAGCCGACCTTTTGACCTTTTAGTTTTCCAGCGCTGGTCCATGTTTAATCCCTTTCCCTATACGAGTACGTGCACCCTAGCAATGCTTCCCAACACCAAATTAGAATTAGTCAATACCATGCCAATGTTGCATTGGAGCCAATCTTCGGGGACATGTTCGAACCAGCGCTAGCCCAACACTTAACCAATTTTAAGCCGACCGACGACATGACTCCAATTTCTGCTCGGAAATTGCAATTGTGAACGGCTCTCGGCCTGGAAAAGGGGGCCCTCATTAGGACGGAACCAAAGCTGTCGGAGCGGATCCCAAGCTCTCGTCAGGAATCTATTCGGATTTGAAACGACCCAGTTCTGAAATGGCGCCTCTTTGGTTTACCCCCTCTTGCAACCTGTTGGACGGCTTTTGTTGCCTGCCAAAGTTTTTCCTGCAAGGATTCTCTTGGTTTTCAAGCTTGCACATCTGGCTTTCCAAGGCATGGCGGACTTCTGTCCCAACCTTTTCCCTGAAAACGAAGCGGCCTGCTTCGCGGGGCCCAAGGCGCCCAAGGAGGTGTTCAAACGTTTCGTGGCGCAGTGGTTCCCAGAGTTTTCAAATTCCAGAGGCTAGGACGTGTTTCAGGGAACTTTTGTGCTTAGTTGAGCCTCAATCAAACCCGGGCAGATCACGGTACCAGAAATGTGCGTTGCCATGTTTATTATTTCTTGTTTTCATGGTTTTTGGGAAGACTCCTTCAATGCCATCTCTTCTGTTCTGACGGAGCTCCGGCTTTCGTCTATTCCTGGTTTTCTTCAGGGGGAGTTGATCATGACTGGAAGCTCTGCATTTTCCGAGCCTAGGCCCAAAGGCCAGGCCATGATTTCCACGAGCATCCGTGGGCATAGTACAAGGGCCCAAGCGTGTGCCATGGTGGCGAGGTCCCTTTCACCTGGAGCTGTGTGGGGGATGGTTAAACAAACTCTGGAATAGATTTGTTGGACACCATTGCAGAGATAAGGAAACCAGTACCATGACAAACAGGATCTGAGACCACACATGAGCTGAACCTAGAGCCGCAGCGGGGGCCAGAGGAAACAGATCTCGGTTTTGTCGCGCAGTGTACTGGAACTCAGGATAGAAGCCCTATATGTTCCGACAGGGGCTTGCTCGTGAGCTACAAACTGTGGTGGTTGCTTGTCATACACAAGGAGCAATCCTGGTTGGGGCCGTAGGTTCGCTATGTTTCTGCGCACCGGCTGTTGTGTCACCCCTCGCGTAGGCTTCTCGCGTAAGCATTTTCAGAACGAAACATCAATACTATTTGCCAATGTGTCAAGTATAAAGGAGTTTGCCTTCTTTGTGTTTGTTTTTCCGCGTAGGCATTCAAGGCGTTCTGAATACGTAAACCTTTAGACCTTTTCTAGCAGCCAAATCGTGGGTTCTGCACTTGTAAAGCCGGAGCTGCCAAAGTGTGCTTCGCATACCACGCTCATGCTGAAAAGTTGTGATATTCCAGCTGGAGCTGCCAAAGTGCACCTCGTTTAGTACACTATTGAACTGAACAGCGGCCCACGTTACTTCTGCTCAAGTAGTGTATAGACCCCAAACCACCAAAAACCATTGCTCATTTGATCTTAAGTTGGAGGCTTCCAAGCACCAGCCGATCATTGCCAGACTTAGCTTAAGAGGCCGCTCGTTCGCATCAAAATCTGGCCAAGTTACTCCACGCGTCACGTCAAGTCGGAACTCCGCTGCTTCAGGGTTGCCACAAACTCTTAGCCGACTCAGAGGGCGCCATTTGGCTGTCTTTAACACTTTCTTACCCCCAAAAATGGTGATTGTGCTTTTGGTGTGGACGGTCAGAGATTGTCGGCCAAGTTAGAAGCCCATCAATTGATTTGGTTCAGGTGCCCTGCTCTTTCAGTTTTGGCTGGCACATGACAGCAACCTGATGCGGGTTCGAGCCGCGCTGGCCTAAGGCACAGTCCGACTTCCGGGTTGGGCGCATGTTTTTTCCAACTGTTTTCCATGCGTAACCTTTTTGGGACTCTTGCAAAGAGCCAAAAGGACAACAATGTTGGGAGTTCCCAAAGTTTGACACAGATCCTTGCGTGATCCCTTCAAGCATCACTCCACCAAGCAGAAGGTCAAAGAATTAAGCCTAAAAGGTGAGGTTCGACCTGGTTCTGCTATCTGTTGTCTGTTGGCAATCCCCCATATCGGGCTGGAACAAGGGTGTTCAGCAAACATTGGATTGAACGTCCTGGACTCCTGTTATCCAGCGGGTTCAGGGGTCCAACTGTAATTTTCTTGGATTTAAGCATCGCCCGGCGTTTGCCACTTTTTCGTTTGATGAGTTTCCTTGAGTGCTTTAGGCTGGACATGGATACGCTACCCGCTTTGCAGTGACTTTGCGGCTCAAGGGTTGGATCATTGACATGAGGCCTGGAGAGGTCAAGTTTCACGTTTGGAATCTGACCGGGGACAGCTTACGTTGTAAGCCCAATCAACTAGGGGCTCCCCTTGATTTCGGGTGGACCTATGGTTCAATTGTGTGTTCAACTTTCGGAACCCACGGCGCCTGATGGGACCCCTTGTTTCAGAGGCGTCCACACGAATCCAACCACCTCCCTGATTTGGGATACGTGCAGATTGAAGGAATTCAGCTTTTGAGCAAGACATCCCCCATTGTTGTGAGTGCAAGCTATCAAGTTTGAATTGAATCGTTTATCGTCCTCATTAACTGACGGGGGATGAGAAAAAGGCGATCATTCACTTCATTGGGTCTCTGATGGTAATTCCTAATGAGACGATAGTAAAGTCTTGGAAGCCATGCCAAGTCTCAGAATCGTTAATTTGTTTCTGGCATACCTCTATTATCCCTTCTCACCTACTAATCTCTTCCTCAATCAGAATGTTCTTTTTTGTAGGAAGTGGAATCTAACGTTTGCTTGAGTATGTTGCTCTATTTCAGGAAGTCCCATGCAGATCCCTGGACGCCCTTCCGCCCGCGCCGACATGGAAAACAGAGACTCGGGAAATCGGCGCGCTTGCAGGTTCCTGAAAGCTTCTGATGTCCGGTTTGTGTTTGGAAGTTTCATACTTGGATGTTCGCTGCCAAGCTAGTCTCTTAGCCGCTTGGGTGTTCACCTCACTGAACGGGGCTTTTACGTGGTGTATACCCTAGGTTATCAACAACTTATTAACTTGACCGAACACACAAGCAGGAAGCGGCGACACTCAATTCTGCCGATTAGATTTGCCAATCCACCAAAAGCATGGATTTCCTGCAATGTTTCGGGTTTCTTGCGTTTGGGAGGCCAATCTGAAGTTATCCCCCTCACACTTCAGGGTGTGAGAAGCCCTGACCAGAAAAAGGAATATTTGCCCTGGGAAACCGCTTCTTCCTGGGTTTTCGGAGCTAGCCCGTACCAGGGGAATCCAGGACCTGTCAAATGAAATGATGTATATGCATGTTTGCTTGTTTTTTGGCGAGCTCTCCTGGAGCTAAACCGAGCTCACCATGAAGCTGTACATGGGATCCCTTATTTTGAGGCCACTAGATGTGGCAAAATCTGCAGCAGTTTCAGTTGGGGCGCCCACCGCTGAAGGAGCGATTTTCGGAGAGACTTGGGGCTTCGATATGTGAAAAAACAGAGTCATTCGGCAGAGCTGGTTTTAGGTCGTTGAGAGGGGATTCTAAAAAAAGCCAGCCGTTCTTCGGGATCCGCTACTTTGAACTCACATTTGTGGGAAGCCGTTTGTCTCCTACTACAGGAAGGATTTGTTAGTGGTAGGTCACATACGCATATTCCGCGGCCATGGTTTGTTTAGCCTTGACTCAAGCGAACATGTTTTTGGTCTGACCTCTTTGAAGTGACCAACTGGCTTCGCCCCAGGCCATGAAAATACCAGCCTGCATGGTCTAGAGATTGTCATTGCCCACCAGAAATTGGCAAGTGGCAGACATAGTGTCTTTTTGAGGGTCTTGAAAAGGGGTTTATGGTCCTTGCTAAGTTAATGAATCACCTAAGAGGTTGTATGTAGACTAACTATTCCCAGAGAGGGGGGGTTACTAGGTGAGACAGCCACTTTCTTTGTGGAACTCAGGTGAAGGCCTTGTAGAAAATGGACAGGTTGGCCCCAACTCTTCCATTCATCTGCACTCCTTTTCAGGTCCCTTTTAGGTGTCTGATTTTTCGGCTGCAAATGTTCAGGGCAAATTGGCGTTCTCCAAATCCAAACTTGCCAGCTATTGTTTGGAACCCTTGGAACAAAGTCTGCTTTGCAACTCCCCCGACTCGCCCTCTATGGCAGGCGACACAAGATTGGATGGAGAATCACACCCGAAAGGAGTTCCTCAAGAGCCTGATCCCTAAAGGTCAAAAGAGGCCAACACGTGGATGCACCAGGCAGTTGCCGAGCACCAGCCACAGAAACCAGCCACAGAAACCAGCCACATAAGGCGGGAAATATGGGGGGTTTCCCTTGAACTGAGTTTCCTAACTTGCTCCATTGCGCTGGCCATGAGCGAGGGCTGCTGTGGGCCATGTCTGCGGCGCTGCTTCTTCGTGTCGGCGGCTACGGCAGGGGCGTGTATTGCCATGCCCCGCTTGTCCCTGCTGCCCAAGTTCGACTTGAGGCTTGGCGCTTGGTGTCCCTTTCTTTCCCCATCCATTTGAGTGTGTCTGAAAACGTTGGAACCCCAACAAACGTTGGTTTCCCTTTGGTTTTAGAGGGAATCGGAAACCACTAAGCCACCAAGCCACCAACTAGCGGGAAGCTTGTTCTGTCCCTTTTGCTGGGCTGGTCAAAGGTAATCCTAAATCCTTGACTTGGGTTACGAACGTATTTTCTCAGTAGTGGCTTCCCAATAGTGGTTTTCATTTTGAGCAGCCCAGTTTTGTGTATCCGTTTGTTGTGTGCCTTTTGTGTTTTTCGCTGTGTCGGTGTTCTTGTTTATTTTGCCTTGTTTGGTTTGCAAATGTTGACAAGAACAATCGGGAGGGAGGGGGGGGGGGGCTGTGGGCAACCCGTGTTCTTGTTCAGAAACTGACGCTGTGAGAAATTGATTTGGACATGTACAAAGTGTAGGGCGGGTTGTTTATTGGTGCTTTAGGTTCCCTTGGAAACTCAACCAACAACAGGTCATGTTTTCCAGAAAGAGTGTGTCATCACCTGTGCAAAGACCAAGCCAAGCAGGTTGAACCCCTCATTCGGCATAGCTCCGTCCGCGGAAACCGCTCCACTTAGGATCCCGGAGCTACGAGTGTTTTTCAGCCTGGACAAAGATGCCGGCAACGCCACGGGCCGCGAGGCCGACGAGGTAGCTAGCAAGGAGTCTGGGGCAAGGTTTCACATATTCTGTGTTGTGTCAGGGAGCCTAAAATCTTTTGTGATAAGAGGGGAAACTACAAGGATAACAACCAATCGGGGTCCCCTAAAGGACTCCCATGTGCATGTTTGGTTTAAATGAGGGGTCCTTTTGGTGGGCGTCATTCACATGGAGACCTGTGCACCAACCATGTTTGAGGGTGTTCCCCCGTTAAGTTCATAACTGCTCTTGGCTGGAAACATGAAGCTAATTGCAACCTTACGATGTTCAACACGACGGTAGCATGTATTCAATTCTAGGTTTTGTTTAACCTATTTCGTTTACACAATGTCTATGAATGACCTGAGGGTATAGTTTTGCCACTGATTGTGGGAGATATTCTAGGTTTAACCTATTTTAGCCGATGCCTATCTTCAACCTATGGGTTTATGCCATGAAGGGTTTATGCTAAACCTGTGGGTTTATGTTGGCACCTATGTTTGACCTCGAGAACCAGGTTTGCATATTGGCCTCAGGAGTGCTTGCCGCTTTGGGAAGCCTCTGCCTTTCAGCTGGGCTGGGACCAAGCATGCGCAAACTATCGGGGTTTCCGCGACCTGGCAAGGTTAGCCGGGCGACCTGGTGGCAACCTCAGGGTTAGCTTCTGGAAGTTAAGCAAAACCTGGGATCTGGAGTATTGTAAAGGGAGGTCCCTTTGGTTCTGAAGCTGCATGGTTTCCCGAGCTGGGTTTCGATTTCCCTCATGTACTGGAAAGCAGCCCGCAAAGGTAATCCCCCTCCGAATCAGCCGTGTATGGAAAAGGATCGGTTAGCAGTTGGCTGCAAGGAAACTCTTTCGTGGCTTCCGTACCGCAGAAACCGGGAAAGTGAAATCCCTTATCGCCATGCCCATTAGCCGACTCAGGCCCAGCACCCGTATCCCTGGTGAAGCCGAGGAGACGAGACCTGCCCGTTATTTCGCGGCTCCCGGATGGCCTCCGATGCTACGCTCTTCCTGGAGGTGGGCAGGCTTCTGAAAGAGAAGCCGAACTGGGATGTTTGAAGACCCTGAGACCCCGAAGTGTTTTTCAAGTGCAAGGGCTGTTTGTTGGTTTAATGGGAGTTGCAAGAAGAGTTCGAGTTGAGGCGTAAGGGAGGTTCAAACGGGTTGCGAGGTCGCCAGACGCTCAGCGGACCAAAGCTTCCGCCCCAAGCTGGCGCGGCTCAAGGCGCGCTTGGCTGAGGCCCACCTCCAGAAGCGGCCCTTCAACGTCTTGGGCATCTCAGAGCCATCTGTTTAGGTTTCTCTGTTTTTTCTCTTTCTTTCTTTTCTTTTTCCGGGTGGAGCCCTGCAAAAGCCACCCAAAAGGGGTACTTCTCGAAAAACGACACCCATACTGTGGATTCACAGAATCCTGCAGTTGGTGGGTGGTTTGTGCCAGTATTCATGGGGGTTCATGCGCTCTGGTAGTGCAAATACTATATTAGATTTTGGGGTCGGCTAAATATGAAGCTCAAATCTTTCAGGCCAAGCAGTTTGGACTGCCGCTGAGTAATTCCAAGATCCCTTGTTTGTGTACGCGTTGGGCATCTGGGCTGTTGGGTTGGGTCATGTTACCTTCGGCTTACAATATATTGTTTGTTGCTGTTTCCAACACCACTCAACATAGTCTTTGTCAGAGAGAGAAGCGGGGTCAATTCCTTTCGAATGAACATTTCCACAGCAGCAAAAGCCGTTTCGAGGCATTGGCCCATCGAACACGGCGGGGGTAGGGTGCACTGGCCATGGCCTACGCTGGACGGACGCCTTGCAGTTCTTATCGAACAGCTCCTTGGCAGTTCCCGTAGCCGTCGCGATTCCAGTTTTGGTCTGGCCTGAAGAGGTAAACCTTCTGGGTCCAAACTGGGTGACTGAGCTCTTGGACATTTTTGGAAATCAGAGTTTCGAGGGTGTTTTTGGAAGTTTCCCTTTTTGCAGTCGGTGTGAAGGGAAGGCAAAGGGAAACAGATTTTGGGAGGTACCACTTTGACACAAGGCCCCTAGAGTGCCATGCCCACGTCCCCGAGCTGGATCTCACACATCCCACGAAAGCAAGTCTCAGCAGTGTCATCAAAAACAGAGGAATCTCCCGTGGGAATTATGACATATACTAGTTGTAAGAAAGCAAGAAATTCTGCAGAAAATCCCGTTGTTTAGGTGTGTTGCGAACTTGATTTCATCCCATTTGCCCAAATCGAATTGATCAGTTGGTAGTGGTTTCAGGGGTTGAACCCCGGGTTCTTTGGGCAGAGGCAATTCATATCCTGTAGTTCCTGTAGTTCCTGTTGGTTTGGCCGGCCAAGTCAACGAAGGCTCCCAGCTGAAGCTCAATGTGACCAACGCAGCGCGCCGGGCCAAGCCCTTCAAGGAGGCCAGGTTGACGACCGGTGGCGTTTGGGCCTGACTCACCGACTCGTTTCGACTCGTTTCGACTCGTTTCGACTCGTGTGTTTGTTTTCTTTTTCTGACAGGTCCCAAATGAATGCCCCTTGGACCCAGTTTGATTTCTGACAGTCAGACGGGCAAAGATGCAACATTGCGGTGACTCGTGTTGTGATTTCACTGGGCTCCCCAACTTCAACGACGCATAGTGTTTGACTTGGAAATAGCTTCATCGGTTTGCACCGGGGTTTGCGGGGCAAAACGAGCGCTTCTGGGCTCCATGATGAGTTCCCACAGGGAATTCCTCTATTCACGTTGGTGCATCATAGTGTTGCAGATGCAGACCCTGGATCCCGTGGCCGTGAAGCGTACGTTTGTATGAGTTGACCAACATGGCGTCCACAATTTGTCATTCCCTCTTACGCCCTGTCAAAGGCCTTTGCCCTTAGCTTTGCCACTTGCTACCCTTGAAGCCATGATCTGACGTCGTCACCAGGTCACCGTTGCCAAATGGCGCCTGTTTCATGCTGATGTGTGTGTGTGTGTTTGTTTGTTTGTTTGTGTGTGTGTGTGTGTGTGTGTGTGTGTGTGTGTGTGTGTGTGTGTGTGTGTGTGTGTGTGTGTGTGTGTGTGTGTGTGTGTGTGTGTGTGTGTGTGTGTGTGTGTGTGTGTGTGTGTGTGTGTGTGTGTGTGTGTGTGTGTGTGTGTGTGTGTGTGTGTGTGTGTGTGTGTGTGTGTGTGTGTGTGTGTGTGTGTGTGTGTGTGTGTGTGTGTGTGTGTGTGTGTGTGTGTGTGTGTGTGTGTGTGTGTGTGTGTGTGTGTGTGTGAGTGTGTGTGTGTGTGTGTGTGTGTGTGTGTGTGTGTGTGTGTGTGTGTGTGTGTGTGTGTGTGTGTGTGTGTGTGTGTGTGTGTGTGTGTGTGTGTGTGTGTGTGTGTGTGTGTGTGTGTGTGTGTGTGTGTGTGTGTGTGTGTGTGTGTGTGTGTGTGTGTGTGTGTGTGTGTGTGTGTGTGTGTGTGTGTGTGTGTGTGTGTGTGTGTGTGTGTGTGTGTGTGTGTGTGTGTGTGTGTGTGTGTGTGTGTGTGTGTGTGTGTGTGTGTGTGTGTGTGTGTGTGTGTGTGTGTGTGTGTGTGTGTGTGTGTGTGTGTGTGTGTGTGTGTGTGTGTGTGTGTGTGTGTGTGTGTGTGTGTGTGTGTGTGTGTGTGTGTGTGTGTGTGTGTGTGTGTGTGTGTGTGTGTGTGTGTGTGTGTGTGTGTGTGTGTGTGTGTGTGTGTGTGTGTGTGTGTGTGTGTGTGTGTGTGTGTGTGTGTGTGTGTGTGTGTGTGTGTGTGTGTGTGTGTGTGTGTGTGTGTGTGTGTGTGTGTGTGTGTGTGTGTGTGTGTGTGTGTGTGTGTGTGTGTGTGTGTGTGTGTGTGTGTGTGTGTGTGTGTGTGTGTGTGTGTGTGTGTGTGTGTGTGTGTGTGTGTGTGTGTGTGTGTGTGTGTGTGTGTGTGTGTGTGTGTGTGTGTGTGTGTGTGTGTGTGTGTGTGTGTGTGTGTGTGTGTGTGTGTGTGTGTGTGTGTGTGTGTGTGTGTGTGTGTGTGTGTGTGTGTGTGTGTGTGTGTGTGTGTGTGTGTGTGTGTGTGTGTGTGTGTGTGTGTGTGTGTGTGTGTGTGTGTGTGTTTGCTTGGGGGTCAAACATTTTTAAAGGCAAACAAGGTCGTATGGCAAGGTGGGGCACTTTGCCAATGGGACCCCAGGCATGGCCTTCCGTGCTGCAGCCCTACAAAGACACAGGCGCACTGGACCTGATCATCGTGGATTTTGCGGTCACGGCGCAGGAAGCTGCAGGGTCCTCATGGATTTTGGGGCAAAAAGCCCAAAGCTCCACACAAGCTTCTGTGTAACCTCCCAAGAGCCAAACCTAGGGTTCGGTTGGTCGTTGTTTTTGCTGTTGTTGGCACAGGGTAGTCATCTTGCAGTTGTGGTGTTTCGTGACTTCGGGCGGTTCAATTCCGCCCACGCCTTTGTAACACAAATTTGACTAGAAATCCGGCCCCTTGTGTGGCCAAAAATGTACCCCCCCCACCCCTTTACGGACCGCTAATAAAACATCGGGAGAAACACCGCTAGAACCCAAACCCAAGGTCATTGTCTATGATGCCACGTTCGAGTTTTATGTGTGTCGGTTTTGTTTGTATTTGATTATGTCCTTTTCCACGGGTGTGGTTGTTAGTTGTTGATTCGCGGTTTGCCTGTTTGGTTCTTTTTCGGAAACCAGTTACTCCCTGGGTCCCAAGACCTCATGTTCTGTTTGGCTCCTTGGGGATCAAAGGCCGAATAGGGGCAATGGTCTTGTGCATTTTGTTGGCGGTGCTTTTTATGTTGCTCTTTTTCGGCAACTGTCCTTTTTTCCCCAACACGGGGTTCGCTGCGGGCTCCGGAGTGCAGTGATTCCGGGCTAGGGGTCCGGCAGTGCGGCTCGCTGTTGAGGATGTGCCGGCCAGCCGGCACCAGACCATGCTGCTTGGCTGGTTTGTGTGACCAAATCGTCCAAAGCGTCTAACAACTTGTTGCTCTTTCGGGTGGCGGAGTGGCATTTTCCGTTCTATTGTTTGACGCTTAAGTGCCTCTCTCCCTGAGTTCTTGGACTTAAACTTGTTGGGAAGACCATTTTAGTGATCAGGCTTCCAGTAAATCCCAGTTACTTAAATAGTTGGTGGCCACCCATGTTACTCATTGTTTCCGAGGGTGGTTCCATTGACGACCACTCGCAAATGGAATCGCTGGGTTAACGTTAGACGCATCCAGGCTCGTCTTTTGAGGCTCATGCACCGTGCGCTGAACCAGTGGCGCAGCCCGCCGGCGCTGCTCTACTTCGAGACCTACACCGGGCGTGCCATAGAAACCATGCAGCAGAAGAAGGCGAGAGATCGGATCAGGATCCGATCCCATCAAGCTGTTGAAACCCCATGTTCCCAATGGGGTATTGATATCGGGGATGGGATTTCTCCAATCCAGAGACCTAAAAAGCAAGGCTCCGGGCCTGTTTTAAGACAAATAATCTGTGTCTTCAAGAATTCGGCCCCACGGTTCTTCAGCGCCTTTGTCCTTTCTTTTGGAGGGGTTTTCCCTTGAGCAGAGGGCCCCTTTTTTCTCCGCATGGTTTTCGGGGATGGGGGGTTGTTATATCAGTGTGTTTTGTTTGCAGGGCACCCGTGTGTTTTGTCCTGCAAAAGACACCCGTGTTGTGGGTTGTCAAGCAAAACCAAAGAAAGCCAGCCGTTTCCTTGGGGTTGGAGGGTGGACCTTCTATGCGGACCCACAGGAACAATAGAATCGCCAGGAAACTGACTTTGAATGTGGAACATTCCGATTTCTGTTGGTCTTAAGTGCTGAAAGGGGGACCATTTCACCATGGGCGAGAGAGAGCACTTTCCGGGATTGCCTTTCATTTCTCAAAACCACCTTTCATCGGGACCACTACAGAACGCTGGCACTGACTCGATCCCTATGTGTGCCTTTGGCTTTCGAACATCTATTAGGAAAGCCAAAACCCTGTCAAGTTCTCAAGCGGGTGTGCTTTCTGACCGTGAGCTTCAGATTCCTTGTCAGTGAGGCATTTTCCGGCTGGGCATATGGATGGGCGCCCTTAGGAGAAAAGGCAACAGAGGACAACGCACTCATTGCCCCATGTCGGTGCCCGCTCGATGTCAACCGAAACCGCACTCAGCATCTTGGGATTTTGGAGGGGGAGGTTCCCTTCTCTGGGGCCAAAAGGCCCTTGCGGCTCCCCAGGCCGAATGAGACCCAACAGACTGACTCTATTGTGGGACAACCACTAGAAGACGGGTGGCCCGAAAGCATGTTCCATAATGCGCAGCCTGAATCGGTCCATGTTTTCCAACTATGGATTTCGCTGTCTATGAACTTCACTCTGTGCTTGCCCTGCGCATGCCTTTATGCACTTCACTCTGTCTACTTTCCCTGTGCATGCAGTTATGCACTTCACTCTGTACTTGCCCCATGCATGCCTCTATCCAAACATGCATACGCAGATGTTGCATTGCGGTCTACGTAGGGCAGTTTAACATCAGGGCCTTCTTCTAGATGAGGTTCAAAGGGAAGCCAAATGAAGCCAAAAGAAACCAAAGGAAACCGAGTTAGTTTTCTCCCTGAGCCAACAGCCCTTCCGCCCTAAGCCGACCCAGAAACCTAGTGGATCCTAGGCAAGCCCATAACCCTTCGCCGTGTTCCGTGAAGGATTCAAAGGGTTCTTTTGGTTACCTCCACTCGGCGCGCTTCGAGTCAGGTGGACCAGTGCCTCTTCGCCGCAGACTTGGAGAACCTGGACCCTTTCTACGCGGTGCTGAAATCCCTGGGAATCCCCGTGCTCAGCTATCCAGACGCTAGCTCGAAACCTGGTTTCCGAGTACCCCTTTTTTCGGATGTAGGTGTACAAGGAAACTAAACTGGTAGCTACCATGGGCTACCACAACATGGCGCTTTGGATTGGGCGTAAGATGGCTTAAGGCTCTAATGTGATCATCTATCTCCAGGATTGCGCATGTCTCAAGGCTGACCTTTTTCTAGGCAATTCATTGTCCAGCTCTTTCATCCATTGTTTGTTTCAAGCTGGTTTTCCGCTGCCGTGATTCAGTTGGGCGGGTTCCGCAGAAGGATCCATGGACAAAAGCTCTTTTTTTTGGCTGTTTGTCAACCTTTGGGTTTTCCAGCGAAAGCTTTTCTATCGTCAACGTAGGCGTGGCTCCTGAGGCTGGATGAATGTATATGGAAGAGGGCCACATCCTTGAAGGGGCCCACCAACCAAGGGCACCCGGGCCTCAAGTTTCCAAATCTGAGCCTGAGGACATCGCCTGTGAAATGACTCGGGGCCAAGAGATCCTTCCGCACGACAAGCGGATCCCCTATTTGTACCTCGGCGAAATTTTGACCTTTTGACCTTTTGATGTGTTCCTGCTTAGGCAACCATTTTTCGTGGCCCGCAAGGTGGTCACCTAGGTCGTCCTGCCATGCAACTGAGGTACTCAGTGGAAGCGAGCCATCACTACTCCTGCGGCGTTCACCTGATTCAGGCGCGCGCTACGGCCCTTCCGGGCACTCGAGCGCCGGGAGGGGGGGGTGGTTGTTTGAAGATGTGTGGGAATTCAAAGGCAGTCCGCAAGACCCTTTGAAGTGATCGGACTGGCCAGTCTCCATTTTGAACCGAGCATTTTTTGGATCCGATGTTCAACACAGGTCAAAGAGACCTGTTTGTTTTGGTGCAAAAACTACCACGGTACCCCGGCTTGGGAATTCATCGTGGCCACATGCCTCACCCCTCAAGGCCCAGGCGATGTTTCTCTACCTGAGCCGACTTCTCCAGGAGCGCACGGATTCGTTTCGAGCTAAGTCCCGACATTTGAGACTCACAGCACACAATCACCCAGCTTGAAATCACGGAAAAACTGTCATTTTTCTACAATATCACATGAGGCTCTTCAGAAAGCCAGGTTCATGGCCGGTTTTCAGGGGGTCCAAAAAGCAAGGCGGCCATTCAAAATGGTTGCGACCCCAAGACGGGCACGGTAAATCTCCGGAGAACGCTTTGGAAGCTGGAGAAGCTGCACCGCCGGGCCGCGAGTTTCGTAGGAGGCCTGCGACCACGGCTTCCAGACCGACTCCGACTCCGACTCCGACTCCTCCGACACGAGTCCGCTGTCGCTGGAGGACCAGTGCCAACTGTCGCTGGTGGACTATTGGCCCCTTGGAGCCCCAGGAGGTTGCAACAAACCGAAGGGCCAAGCCCCCAGTTTCCCCCAGAAATGGTCAGGACCATGGCACTGGAGGTGTTGTGTACCCTTTTGGAAACACACCCAGGGTTTTCCGGAGACAAAACCAGGACTGCCGGTTCGTGCATCGCCTATGCCTCCTGAAGGCTCAGTGGAAAAGCGTGTTATTTGGTACCCTCTTCAAACCGCCGCAGATATCCCTTCAAGTGGGCTTTCACAGCTTTCGAACCAATCCCTGAAAACTGTTACAAAACTCAAGTTCATTGCCAGCACCGAGAAATAAGCATTTGGGGAGTCTAGTTCCCTCGGGCCGTGGGATTGCGTGGGATCCCATGGTTGTGTGGGGCAAGCCAGATTTCGCTGCAAGTAGGCAACCTGAAACGGACATAGGACATCTAGGGGATGCCTAAGAGGAACTGTTTAAAGGGATGTCTTTAGCTCTGCGGTAAAACGGAGCCAAGTTCTTCCATTTGCTTGTGTTTGTTTCTCCTTTTTGGCTTTCAAATGACTCTACGACTACTGCAAGTAGAAGAAACTGATTGCTAGCTGGCAAGCAGGCAAGCAGGCGACCAACAAACGTCCCCCAAGTAAGGATCATGCAGCGTAAAATTCTAGCTGGCCCAAACCTTTCAAAGACCCGGTGAAGCCAGGCTCGTTGGTGGCCCAGCTTAGGTCCTTCTTCAGCGGCGCTGGGTTTCCAGCCACGGTGGCAAAAGCTGACTCCGCGTGGAAGTTCGGGGCGGACCGTGCCGGGAAGTATGGGTGGATCGCGCACTGGGACGGAAAGTCTGTGGGGGGAGACACAGGCAGGGCGTGTGGGGTTCGGGGAGGGTGGTGAAGCATGGCCAGACTGGGCTCAGCTGTTTTACTTTGTGCATACTTCTTTGGCGGGTCGAAGTCTGGCGCAGGAAAGAGGTCAGGTCAAAATCCACTCAGGGCTAGCTTTGGGTGTTGCCGCTTGAATGAAGCTTGGAAATCCGCAATCCGGTCGTCTATCGATTTGGGCTTGGGACATGGGGAACTCAACTTCAACCAGTTTTTTTTTGTCAACATGTCCACTTTCTCAAGTCAGGCTTCGAGGCACGTCACTGGCCCAGGGTCCTTGTGCACTGAGAGCGCGTGTGGCTTTTTGGGGAGCCCTCTTTTTGGTGTTGCTCGCCAGTTTCAGGGCTTTCCACTTTGAGACACACACTTTGGGTTGCGGAACGTTTGCAGAGCCGAAGCTTGAAAGGACAGCCGCAAGGCGGGGTTTGTTTTTGCCCTTGGAAAAAGATCAGGCACTCCTAAAAGTATAGCCCTTAAAGAGGGGGACCCTTTATGTTCCCAAGAACTTGAAACGTCATCAGATTGGTTCTGGACCATGTTGAATCTGAGGAGCATGTCCCACTAAGGGGGAACTACCCCGGATTAGCACGGGGTGAAAGTGGATGGCTTTAATCATCCCACTTGCCAGCGGAAAGTTTGAGTTGTTCCATCCACCTAGCTTCCATTCTAGCTCGTGGGTGGCCATCCCTACCCTCCAAAACATGCAGTTTGGAGGGCGGGTGACCCTTTTGAACCAACACCGATTGGGATTTCCCGATTCCCCGGATACAGACTAATAATTTCGGCTGTGCCTGCAACCTCGTTTGCATGGCCCTGATGTGGAATGGACGTGCTTGTAGCCTCTCTTTGCAGACTTATTTGATCCACCGATTCCTGGGTTCAGGCGGCAAGGTGCCAGACACCAAGATCAAGTTCGCTGACCTGCCGCAGCACGACATCCTGTTCCACGTGTCCATGACTCTGGGCCTGGTGCTGGTGCGCGGGGTTCGGGCCGGCCGAAATCAAGATAGGGGATCACTGGATTAGGAAAAACGCTGCCCCAAAATGACCACGGTGTTCTTATGTCCTTTTAAACTCAAAAGGGGTCCACCAGTTTCAGGGACACTGAATTGGGCGGTGCCGCTTTCGAGGGCCTCGCTCCAACTGTTGACAGGTCTTGGAAGACCTATTAGAATTTTTGGGACCTTTCTGTCCGCTTCCATGATTGTCAAGCACCAACCGCCGATAGAGCCACAAAAGGTCAGGGGTTGAGAGCTTAGGCCTGGTCCCTTCAAGGCTCGTTGGGCTTGGGCTACTCCTTGCGGGATGTGTGTAAAGGGAAGCCACATGAAAGTCCTTTGTTTGGGGCTGGTTCCATTCCAGACCAACAGAGATCGACTGGAGACCCTTTCAATTTCATAGGTCCAAAAGGAACATTTAACGAGCGTCGACGAAAATACTGCGTCACAAGTTCAATACAAAGAGGCAATGAGGGTCCAGGCAAACAATAATCAGAGTCCCGGGCGATACGCGAATGAATGAATGAATGAATAAATGAATGAATGAATGAAGGAATGAATGGATGGATGGATGGATGGATGGATGAATGAACGAATGAAAACACAAACAAGCAAATACCCAAACAAAGACAACGAGTCCCAAGAGCTCCAGTTTCGCAGGTGGAATATTTGTCCACCTATGCGAACATCGGCGCAGCTACCTGCCTTCTGGAGGATCCAGCCGGCCACGCCGTGAGCGAAGCAGTGCGGATCAACGCTCTCTGGAGCGAGAAGGTGTCCTTGTCTAGCCAGGCGGGGTGACCCGGTGGACGGTGACGCCTTTGACCCTTGAGCCCTTCGTTTACGGGGCGTGACACAGACATACCAACCTACCTAGCTGCTTGCCGGCCCACAGACACTCACCTACACACCCATAAAAGGGCCGTTATCAAAATGGAGCAGCCTGCTTCGCTGAGGTGACCTTGTCCGCAGACCTCAGCAAACTGAAAGACCGCGGCAAAAAGCGGGCGGTGGTCCGATGCAACTTGGGCTCTGATTGTTTGTGTTTTTGGGTTTGTCTCCAAAATCGACGGTTCGTTTCGTTTCTTTTCCCAAGGCGTACCCAGCCCCGTTTGTCTGGGCCAACGTTGTGTCACATCTTACGTCTTTGCACTTAGCTAGATCGGGTTGTAAAACAGTATCCTGTTTTTAGACGCCTGGTGCCGGCTTGTGCCGCCTTTTGCAAGGGATACCAAACAGAACCCCGATGAGGCCAAAGATGCGAGTCCATGATTTAGGGTTGCATATTGACCATGTTCGGTTTAGAATCCATTTGAAACTTCGGAAGGATCAGGGCTTTGCTCCCCGCGCAACCAATCCAAGCCACCAATTGATTGTTTTTGTGAGTGCTTATGAGTTTCCTGACCGTGTTTTGCGGTGCTGCAATAGAATGACTTGCGCTTCCGGACATTTATTTGCTTGTGTGTGTGTGTGTGTGTTCATTTAACTTTGGTTTTAGTGGCCATGTGTGTTTGCTTGCTTGTTATGTGTCCTGACATTGAATAAGGAGCCCCCACCAAGCAAGCATATTGTTTTCTGTTTCCATTTCAAAAGCCAGGAAGCAGCGTGGTTTTTGGTATGTGTAGCACAGGCCGCTCGCTCTAGTTGAGCCGCTACACATTTGTTGAACCCGTTGGCGCATGAACAGCAAGAAATGCCAAAGTGTCCGCTTTAACTTTATGGAGCCGGTTTTTCACGTTGAATGCCGAAAGTTTCCAACCACAAACTGGCAAACCGTGTGCTTCTATTTGTGCAGTTCAGTCACTGACCAAGGCAAGAGCGAGGGCCAGAAATTCAAGATCCTTGCGATCTCGAGCTGCTGAGGGTAAAAGAGGGTCAGCTCAACGTGCTTGAGGTCGCCTCTAAAGTGTTTTTTCTATGTTGGTGCAGACTAAAGGTGAAACAGAATCTGAAATATGTTGCTTAAACTGGAGGGCGGTTTCCGCTAGCCCCACTTGTTTGGTTGAAGCGCGCTTTTCCCATACCCCTTTGCCAATTGCTGCCCCTTTGTCTTTGCTTCAGCAATCGGTCCTTCCTAGCGTGTAGGGTCGCCAGGAGTCGCCTGGCCATATCAGGTTTCAATGTCAGAGAGGTGAAGGAGTCCTCAGCAAGTGCTGTCTGGTCCCCACGAGTCCCGTGCACGCCCAATGTGGGCACCAGACCTGCAGCGCCCAACCAAAGGGTTTGAACATTTGGGGATAAACATCATCCCCTTTCTTTTGTCTAACATTTTCTCCTCTCCTGAAAGATCAGTTTCCTCAAGCGACCGTGGCCAAAGGGTCGGAGGGGCAAAGGTTTGGGACCTGAAGAAGACGGGCTTTGAGTGGAAAGGGGTACAAGGCAAAGGCTTGTCTCTTCCAGGGAAAAGGAATCTTGCAGGGCTGTTCCTGCTTAGACAGCCGTACAGTATTCCAAGTGCCAGGACATTTCCCTTCAGGGAAGAACTAGCTGGGAGGGAAGTCCTTTCCGTGGCACTGAGCTAATCAAAGAGTTGTGGGAAAGTCGTTGCTTGAAAGCTTACTCGCTCCTCGCTTTGGCACCTTGCTCGCTTCTCCAGATCCACCTGGGGGCTTCACATTGAGTTTAAGTTGAGTGCCTAGAAACCTGTCTGCTATTAAAGAAAAAAACAATATTATGGGGCTTCTGGAGACCTCGGGCTAGCGCACCCCGAGTTGCTGAAACGGGAGCTACGAGACCCCAAATAGGGGGGTCAATTCCATAGAGTTCATTAAAGCCGGAAGGACAGCCGCTCGAAGCTGAGGGTTCAGGAAGCTCGTGGCCGTCGATGGTTCCAGGGACGTTACTCTAGCCGCCCCACGTGGTGGGTTGGGACTCGCAAATGAACACGTGCCTGGGTGGAGGGTAAATGGAAAATCAACCACCCCAACCTCCAAGCCAATCCAAAGCAGAAGAGGGAAGCTGAGATCCTCCCAAGTTTTCATGGGTTCCAAGGCCTTTGACCTTCGCAATATCAACTCAAGCAAGTGACGCATCCCTCGCCACGCCTTCCGTTGTGGACGCTCGGCGCAAGGCTGCGCAGTCTCCAGATCCCCAACATGTCCTTCCCATATTTGTTTGCTGGATACTTTGAGCGAGCCCTCTTGCGCCAGTTTCGTAGTGATGCTGATGGCCGATTGATCTCAGCAAGGTGCTGACAAGCTTCCATATTGCGTGGGCCGAGAGCACATGAGCAGTCTTCGTATTTCACGTTTGGCGCTTTCAAAATAGACATTTCGACCAATGTTGGCCAATTTTCCTTTGAGTGGCTGCTTAAAGGAAGTTCATGGAAGCCTTGCCCTCAGAACGTGTAAACCTTGGGATGATCGCAGTGCCAGTGCCGAGCTTGCAAGCGCCGCCCGCACTGGCGCGAGCGCGCCCGGCATGCCATGCGGGCCATGTCCCTGAGGCTGGAGGGTACTGCAATCTATCTGAGCAAAGTAAAGCGACCTGCCACCGTTTCACTGCTTTTCCCTCCGTACTCCTAGTGACTGAGCTTTGCCCCTACGAAACACTAAACTTGGGCGTTCTTCCGGCTTTCTTCCGGCTTTTTGTTTTGCGAGGCGCCCTCAGTGCCACGCCGCCTGCTGGCCGCTGTTGTTGCCGCTGGCGGCGCCAGGGCCGGCCCTGCCCGGGCACGGCGCAAGGCTTGGGAAGGATTTAGTTCAACCCCCCGAGGTTGATGGTCGGGCCGATGTAAGGCTGGCGTTGCGCCTTGGGACGGCGACGGGTGCTTTGGGGATGTTTTTGCAGTTGTCTTGGTCGATGTTAAGGTGACCGCGGTGTCCTCCGATGCTCTTTGGGGTTGCCTTTGGAAGGGGTCTTGGAGCATCTGTGGGGACGTCTTTGCGGCACTCTCAGGTGGATGCCTTTCGGATGTCTCTGCGACTGTCTTGGTCGATGTCCTCGAGGGTGACTTTGAGGAAAGTCTTGGGCTCTGGGGGGAAGTCTTCAGGGGATGTCTTTTGGGCGTGTCTGCGAGGTTTGTCTTTTCGGTTCTCTTGGGTGATGCTTTGGGGATGTGTGGATGTCGTTAGGAATTGTCAATGGGGGTGTAGTGGCAAAAATGACGGTTGGGATGTCTCTGGTGGATTGTCTTTGGAGGCCGTCGTTGTGTGCCTTTAAGGGTGACTTCTGGGGATGTCTTTGGAGATTTGACTTCGGAACATGTCTTTGAATGGAGATGTCTTCCGCAGTGTTTTTGGGAACGTCTTGGGAGATATCTTTGGGGCTGACCTTGGGGTCGTGTTGGGGTGCTACTGGGAATGTCTTCGGACATGCTTTTGGACATGTCTTTGGGAATGCTTTTTGAGGGTATCTTTGGGGATGGCTTTGGGCAGGGTATGTGCTGAGGGCTGTGTTTTGTGGGTTGTTTTAGTTAGGGTGTCTTTCTAGTCCTGTCAATGCGGATGTCCTTAGGAGCGTTTCTGCATCGGGTTCGCCTCTACTAGGTTGGAAACACCAAGCACGCATCTCCAAGATCCGGTGAACTCATCGCGAGTCGCATAGGATTTGTTTCCCAGCTCAAGTTGCCTGTCGCAAGCCGCCATGGCACTGACCTTTGAGCAGGTGGGCGGTAGATGCAAGCTGGTGACCGAGGACGATTTCAAGAGTTGCTTGAAAGGGGAGATGTTGACTGATCCCTTCGCGCCCCTCCGAGCAGAGCGACTCTTCAAGGATGAGAGGAGAAGACACCGGCGTGCCGTGCGTGAACAGGCAATGGTGGCGGATTTTCTCAACAAGAATCACTTTCAAGAAATCAACACTCCGATGGTGTCCTTGTGTGGGCTCCAGCGCGTCTACCCCTTGGCGTATGCTGTGAAGACAAACAACGGGCCCATGGCTCTGTTGTTGGTCCGCATGGGGGCTGACCCAATGCTTCGGGATCGGCTGGGCTATACGGCCCTGGACCATTGCAAGTCACCATCGCTGCGCCACAAGATGTTCCAGCTTCATCAGGGACAGGGCGCGCTGTTCAGGTGACGCCTCATTTGTCCCCGGGGCGCAACCAGTTCCTGGGAGCAATAGCTGCCTCACGAAACGTTTCAGCCATATCGCAGGCAGGGCGAGCTGTTCAGGCGACGCTTTGTCTAATCCCCGGTCTACAGGGGGTTGCTCGACGCGACCCCACCAGGAATTTGCTAATGCTAATTTGCCATGCATTGCCACGCACCGCGAGAGGAGGATTCCGGGATTCTGTGATTCTGTAGCGTTGCCCCATTCTCTTTTTGGATGGCTTTTGACATCAGCTTTTGGGCCAATTGAAAGTGAGTCTGTCTCCTTCAGGTGATGTTTGAAGAGGAGATGAAGGAAGCCCGGTTCTGGCAATCTGTTTTGTTCTGTAATGAGACAGGGTGAAGCAGGTTGGGTCTTGAGCCAAAGCCGAAACCCGGGGGATTGGGCAGGGGGCCTATTCACATTTGCAGATCCTTTTGGATAAACTTGGGTTTCGAATGACTCATTGAGAATCCGAATCCCTCGCTTCCATTCTATCTTTACCTTGCACTTCCCGTGGAGGGATGAGCTTGCTTCGTGTCTTCCAACTTGTTGAAGGCATGGCTGATTGCGAAAGCGAATGGCGATACTTTTAAGGGATGGGGGTGAGTTTTGTTAGGGGGGCCTGTTTGGACATCATGTTCACCATGGGAGGTGGTTCCCAGTTGCAATTTGTTTCCAAGTTTGAGTCCGACTCTGCAACCCAACCTTCAGACATCGCGCCGCTCTCGTATTGTTAACGCATATCAATACCACTCCAAAGTGCCACAGCCTCGGGTCGCTTTTTTGCTGCATGGTTGATGGACACATCTCCAAATAACAATATGGTGGGGATCTCCACTTTTGTATCGCGGGGAGGGGCGACCATTTTCCACATGCATAGCCTTGTTGGACCGTTTTGCCTAAATCTTGCTTTCTTCTCCGGATGTTCCACCGGTTGGTCATTTGGAGTGGCCTGGCTACTGGGCGCCAGGCTTCGCTAACAATCCTTGTCCCAAATTGGATGCTTATATTGACAGGGAACTAAACGAAATCAAACATTTGTAGAGCGTCCAATGAAGGACTTGTCGCGAGTATGTTGGCCTTGATGGACGCAAGAGAGGTGGCATGATCTCACTTGAGAAATACGCACTTCTGGCTCCTGCTGGCCTCGATGTGCCAAAAGAGTCCGATTCAGGTGGGAACATCCCACGTGTGGTCAGTAGTCAATCTCCATCATTTGATATACCTTCGATCAACGAGTAAACCAGTGGCCAAATTCATGGCACACCCTGAGACCGAACCTTGGCGGTTTGTAGCAACTCCCCAGATTTAAATGTGGCCCCATGTGTGCAAGGAGCTCTCTCTGGCTTTTGAATTCCGTGTTCAGAGAAACTCTTCAGTTTTCAAGCGCCGGCGTGGGTGCCAAGGAGCGGCCTCAAATTTGCTGGGTTGAAGTTTCAAGGGCGGAACAGTTGCGGCTCTTACGGCGAACCCGAGGGGTCGATCCGTGGGCATGCGTGTAAGTCTTAACGTCTGGGTAATGCCCAGTTGGCCCGTTTCCTGTGTACAGGTTTGTCAGAATTTGGAACTTCCCCGCGAAGGGGGCAAAAGCAAGACATCCCATGAGGAAGAGACACTCAAATGGGGGGTTGTCAAAATTGGGGGGGCACTTGTTGGGGTCCCTTTGAACAGCACGAGGCTGAATCTGACAACCCCCTGGATGTTTGTCGGGATACGTTTTGGCTGTCATTTTCCTGACCCCATGGAGAGGGGCAGGGCAGGGCAGTTGGCTTGCAATGAATCTTGGACCATTTGAGGTCCCAAGGCTTGCAATGAATCTTTGACCATTTGAGGTCCCAAACCTTCCGATTGGAGATTGGAGGGTCCAAGGCGCTGGGCAGCTGGAAAGTTGTTCATTTGGTCGCGATCTCACAAAGCGTGTTGGGATTTGTTTTTTTCCAGTTTGGGGGATCCATTTCTGATATCAGGTTTGTGATTTAGAATCATGTCTCACTTCAGCCCATTAAGGATGCGCACAGAAACCAACGAGCAAAGAAGCACATCGGAGCTCCAGCCATTGATCGCTCAGTCTAACTTTGCCTCTCCCGCGCCAGCTTTTCTAAGTCCGGCATTGCTCACCCACTTAAGAGCCCAAATTGGAGTGAGGATGGTTGAGCTGCATTTGCTGAATTCTCCTGGTGGGTATTCTTCATTTTGTGAGCAACCCTGAATCGCGGGCACTGAATTTCTGAGCTTGACGCCAAAGGACCGATCCGGACTGGGCACCAGACTGTCGCACGAAGGCGGCAGATTCATTGTGCAGAAGTATATGTTGCAGAAAAGGGTTGATGCACTGGGAAAGAACCGCAGGACTCAACAACCAAGAAATGGTTGTCCAAAGTCAATTTTGCAACACATGTCCACAGATGAGTTGCGCCCTTTTTGGGCGCACGTAGATCAAGTCCCACTTGCCACCTTTACACCCAGAAGTCCCTTTGATCTTTTGCGAGCCATCTGAATGTCACTCCTTCTCGAAGGGTCCTGCGGTTTCCGTACCACGGCCCGAGTTGCCTTTAGGGGTGCGAGAAGGGGCATATGTCGGGGCCGCATCTTCTATTGGGACCCTTGGGGTTGCACCAATCTTGAAATCTTGAACATGTTTGTCAGGTCATCGTCGCGTGCTCACTTCTCCCCTTCACCTACAATGGGGCTTCCCGAGGGCAAGTAGATTATCTGACTGGCGCATGTCATTTTCACTTGTACACCAAATCTGCACTGAGTGCAGAGGGGTCATTGTGGCGTGACGCTTACAGATGACACCGTGAAGAACCTGATAACAGCCAAAAGTGAGCTGGCAAATGCGGAACCGCCTATGGGCCGTTTTTATTCTTCCTGCGCCTGAACATGCTACTATGATGGGGTTGGTGGCCACAAGGTCAGAGGGACTTTGGTTCCAGTTCCACGAAAGACCACGCGAGCCAGAAGGTGAGGTCCTGTCGCTTGCCGCCCTTCGCTCTTGTCAACTTAAAGCAATAGAAACCGCCTGCCTGAAAAGATTGGCGCAGCTCCACGCATATTTCACTTTGGCAGCTAACGAACACAAGCGTGCCAGCGAAAAGGGCATCCCTGAAATGAAAAGGGCTCCCCGTAAGACTGAAGGATTCCCTCCAACCTACAACACACCCCAACTTCATTCATCCAGGGTTCCCGTGGGGAAATTGCTAAAGGACTTTGAGGACCCCAAGTTCGGGGAAGAATCTTTGATTTCAATCATGCTAAACGCTAGGTAGGTGTTTGTGTGTGTGTGTGCGGGGACTGCAAAATGGTGGGGGTTTGCTTTTGGTGTCCCTTTAAGCCAAGGGTGAAAAGTGTAGCGAGCCTCAAACAAACATGTTGCTGCCATTACTGTTGGCTTTGTGCTTTTGAGGGAAACCGTGTTGGGGTTGCTTTGAGGGAAGGCAAGGAATTCCCACAAGCGTGAATAGGGTATTGTCGGTTTGTTCGAGGCAAGAGTTGGAGTTGCCCAGCCTGCCTGCTGTTCGCAGGAGAACGGGCCCTTCACGTTTCAGGAGAGACCTGGCCGGCTTGACACGCATACATAAATTGCAATACAACACATTTCGTTGCACATACGTACGTACGTAGATACGCAAATACGCATATACATATCAGCTTGTGGTTGCCTACAGGTGTGGTTTGAGTATGTTTAAAAGTTAAGTTTAAACACGTTGGTATCCTGTGGTATCTCAGCTGTGGCAGACCTCAGTTTCCCAGAGTGTGCCGGGGTTTAGCTGGGACCTTACTAGGATTTGCAAGGGTTGACAAGGCTTTTGAGTGGTTGTTTCGGATGTTTGAGTTATTTTTAGGAGGACAGGACCGGGAGCGCTGGATAGGGCAGAGTTGCTTTAAGCACTCAGTTGTCCATGGGCACATTCAAACGGAACCCTATGAACTGACCAAAATCTACACATGATTGGTTCGATCATCTTGGAATCAGTCCGTAAATCGCTCCACCCCGTTCCAATGTTGGTGGACACCCCCCAAGAAGACAAGACAGAGAGCGGCTGGTGGAGATGTGAATTCAGTACAAAACACGCTGCAGCACGCTGTGGTTTAAAGTGTTTTGTGATAGTACAGGGGGCTAGGTCAAAGCTTGAGACCTCTGAATTCGTTCTTATGGTTTCTACCCGGATGTCAGTTAAGAGTACACCTGAAACGGGCATCCTATTTGATTTTCTAATGACGGACAATGCAATTATAATTTCTTGCCAATTAGAACTCCAATCGGAACTTGTTTCCAAAATGGAGTTTTAATCAACATGTTGTGTTGAACATTTAACTAGAATGCGGTAATTTATAACATATTGGAACTCTTACTCTCAGTCACAAAAATAAAAATTCAATAGAAGCTCAGCATGATTCATAAAACAATAAGGAATCAGTCCAATAATATGTTCTATTTTGAGTTAGACTCTGAGTAAAGATTGTTCTATTTAAGATTGGAATTTTCATAGGAACTCCTTTGTAACAAAAAAAGTAAGGAACGACTTCAAATAGAATCTCCATTTGAAGCATTGGGCCCAATCAGAATTTAAGCCATTGAATGAGGAAAGAACTTAATCGCGGCGTCTACTTTGAATGGGTATGGTATTCAAACATGGTGTTCTTTCCAAAATCGATTATGGTTTAGATGTAATTTAATTAGGAATTGTGTCAATGACGATGTCTGTTTCGATTTGAATTAAGAATTTTGTAGGAGTTAATGTTTTTATATATATGCTTGAGCAATCTAATTGCCAAACAAGACAGAGGAAACAAAACAAAAAAGAAGCTACATAGAGCCAAATAAACAAAAGAAAAGAACAACTCAAGGAAAAGCCAACCAACTCGCGAGAACCAAATGAACCGCAGATGTTTGAGGGGCCTCCGCCAAAGAGTTTGGAGTTATGATGTTTGCTTGCTTTGTCGCATAGATGCAGGCTCAGCCGCAGATGGTTCACGTAAGCAAAAATGCGCGCTTCGCCTTGCCGCTTGCGCTTGTGCAAAAGCATTGTATTTGCAGTGTGGTGGAAGCATCGGAGATGTGAACTTGTGTTTGTGGGCGTCCCTTTTGAAATGAAATTGGTATGTGTCAGAAGTAGGTCCCACTTCTGGTGTCCGTCTCAAGAAAAAGCCGTGAATCGAAGCTTCCGAGAGGACTCTACGCCGGATATGCTCCTGGAGTGGCTGAACAAGAAGGTGCCCAAGCAGGATAGCACAGCGTGGAACCAAAAAACAGGGGCAGCTGCCAACGCTTGCTACCTCCCTTGAGCGGTCGAATGAGGGCGGGCTCAAGGGAGGACAGGCAACGGGCGGAACCAACGCAACACAACGCAACAGAACGCAACAGAACGCAACACAACAACCAACACAACAAACAACAATACGTCGCAACAAAACCAACACAACACATCGCAACGCAAGCCAGCACAACACAACACGTCGCAGAATCAAACAGCACGTCACAACACATCACAGCAAACCATGCAACACGGCACTTCACAACATGAGACAACCCAACCCAAGCCCGCCCAGCACAACGCAACACAATACAACACAACACAACACAACACACACACACATGCATCTTTGACTTGGGGTCAGTTGGTCCAACCCATTTACGCGCGCTTTGATAGATGTAGCAAAGTACTATTAAAGCCCAAATATGTTTGCTGATTCGAACTGAAGTCGTCAAAGAGGTTCGGAGCGCAGGCGCCTTTTGTCTGCAATCCGATTTTTGTTACTCCAGAGTCACGTTACTCCAGAGTCACGTATGCGCCGTCAATGCATTCGCTTCCTGGGCGTGAGGATTCCCCAGAGGCAGTGCTCAAAGCGATAGACGACTTCGCTTGGACCGAGCAGTGGATGATGCGCCTTCGGCATCGTTTGTGTTCTTGGCGAGCCGGACTAGTGGTATCGGCCCAAATGAACTTGCCTGTCCCACCGAGGTCTTCCGAGAGCCGCGGAGAAACGAGTGATGTGTTGATTGGTCTTTGCGGATCTGCCGGAAGAAGGAAGCCACAATGTCCACGTGATGATGTTGATGTCCCTCAAACGGCACGGCTTTGCCGCCCAGTGGGATTGCAATCGACGGGAATCCAGTTGATTAGGGAGGGCGAGAAGGGGTATATATGCGATGGAACCTCAAGTCAACCATTCAGGGTTTACCTTCTACCCCCCTTCTGAGGGATGTTGTCCTTTTGTTAAGTGAGATGTTCTGCGGGGAGTGGCTTCACGTTTCCGGTTGTTCTTTCAATTCGACCTCTGAAAGAATGCGCGATACGGCTTCCTGGAGGTCCGTCGGCTTCGAGAAACCCCGCCTTCATTTGTTCATGCCCACAAAATATGGGGTTTCGGTTCGCTGATCACCTAGGACCCTGATTCCCACTGAGGTGATGGAGGATTTTGTCCATCCAGACAATATATTTCAGTGGACAGGTGTCGATATTTTCCGAACCTGATTTAGCATCTGAGGAATGTGGGGGACGTAAAGGGCAAAGTCCTGGATGTTGCGCTGCGCGAGGCTCTGCGACTGCACCCCACAGGCCGAGATCGCCGATGTGGGAATGCTACAGCTATTTGTAGAGCATAAACAGGACTTTGCGCGTATGAATCTTTGTATATTTTGTTTACATATACATATACACATACACATTTATACATATTCGGCAGGTAGCATACAAAGTCTGACGTGCGCAAATACGGACCACCCCCCCCCCCTCATGAACTACATTCACTGTGCCGCCTTGTAAACTATGCTTTGCGCAGACTTGTTTTTGCCTTTCCATTGAGTTTGATGAGTATAGTAGCCAAATTTCGGCCACAAAAGACACCCGCTTGTTTTAGTGTTGGAGCCTGTGAGCCTGTCTGGTTTGCATGCCTTGTTTTGCTTTGATGAGGATTGGGCTAATTCTCTCAACGCCAAAAGCACGCACGCACGCACGCAGGCGCACACACACACACACACACACACACACACACACACACACGCGCACACACTTGTGAATCCTTTAGTTTTGACAATATGGTGACAATGCCGATGCTGTTGACTGCAGAACGACTAGAAACACACATATCAAGATAACCAACAAAACACAACTCAAAGGAGAAGTTCCTTTGTCCAAAAGTTGGGTTCTGTTTGTTTTGTGTTTTTGTGGTGTTTTTTCCCCCCAGGTGTCTTCTTTGGGTTTGCCAAGTGTTTTTGTAGTTTAGCAGTTGTGTCTCAAACAGCCAAACAAAGCTCAAAAACCGCAAGAGCTCGAGCTTTGTTGTGGGTGTCTTGGAGAGCGTCAGCAACAAACCCACAAATGCGCATGAGTTGTTGTTGGTTTTGTTTTTGTTGGTTTTCTCGAGCTGTGTTTGATGTTTGTTTGTTTTCTCATTTTCTGTGGCATTGGGTGCTGGCGGCGAGAAGTTGTGTTTGATCAATTAGAATTTAAGTAAGAGTTATTCTTGAAAGAGTTTAGATAGGATGTAAAAAGGACACCTTGTATTTCGATTGTCTTTTTTGCATTGAATTTGGGTCTGAGATCCTGTCGAAATAGGATGTGATTTTCAGTAAATTGCAATGTTCAATGGAATTTGACAAGTTCCCACGTAACTGGTTTAGCGGTTTCGCTACAACATATGCTAGAAGTGAAGTTCCTGCAATGGATATGATAGTCAGACGCGTGCACATAACGTTCCTCTGGAAAGCCTTGTTGTCTCCCCCCCCCCCCCCCATTTTCAGCGACCATTGGCAGAGTTGCTCCGAGTCTCAAAAACATGATCAAATCACAAGCGTGGAACAACATGGCGTGGATTCATTTGCCCTCTACCAGCGATTCATGCTCTATTTTTGTGACAGGTTCTGCCCTTGA